CTGCGGCGCTCGTGCTTGGCGCTGTGGAGAAGTGACAGCGGGGTACGTGCGGGGGCCGCGCAGCGGGACGCCGCCGCCCTCTGAGCGAGACAGGGCCACCAGCCCCGCAGCAACCCCGCCGGACGCCGCTTCAGTCTCGAAGGGAGTCGCTTAAAACCACACGCAGAGCGAGCTAAGACGGGGGCGCGCACCCGCTTGCGCCAGGTTGACTGTGATGGATTCCTGGCTGCTGAAAGCATGGCGCTGCGGGGGCACGCGGGCGGCGGGGGCGGCAGGCGATCTTTGCAGCTAGGCAGCGGCAGGCGGGCGGGCGGCGCGGCGGCGACGACTGCATCCCAGTGGTTCGAGCCGTGTTGTCGTGTCGCCGGGCCGAGTCACCTCTGGGTTCATGAAGGGCCCGCCGCAGATCATCTGCCGCGCCAGCTCGTTCCTGAGGACAGCAGCGAGATCCTGGGAGCTCCTAGGCTGCGGGGCGTCAGGGAGGTGTGTGTGTGGGGGGGGGAGCTGGTGACACGGAGCGCGGTCGGCCGGCTTGCGAAAGGCCGGACACGTTGAGCACAGCGCAATGAGCTGCTGCAAAAATGGACGGGGGTCGGATGAACGTGCGGGCGCGAGCGGCTCGGCAGAGCCCCGCCTCAGACGGGTGCGCGGCGGCGCCCAAACGCACCCAGACGGCGTCGCAGGCCGCGACGAGCCGGCGCGCGGCACCGCCTCGTGGGGCGTACGCTGCGCTCTCGTGCGCGCCTGCGACCCTCGCGGGCGCGCCGTCGCCGCCGCCCCCGCCGCCGCCGCCGCAGCCGCTGCTGCCTCCAGGGGAGCCGCTGTGCGCGCTGCTGCCGCCGGCGCCGCCGCCGTTTGTGTATCCCAGGGCCAGGGATCGCAGGCGTGGGAGGTCGAATTCCACATACAGGAGGTTCTTGTCATTGGGGGCGGCCGAAATCGAGAAGAAAGGGTCCCCCTGCAGCAGCTGCCTCACGTTGGGCTTATCGTAGCCGCGCCCCCTCGCCCTGAGGGCGGCTGTGACCGCGATGCCTGCGGGCGGGAGCGCGCGGGCGCGGTGGCCATCAAGGCGGCGCCGTCGGAACGGCGGGGAGCTGGCGTCGTGGTTGCAGGCTGAGTGTTGGAAGAACACGGCGAAATCAGCTGGGGTTTGTTCGCTTGTGGGAGCCTGAGGGGTGGGAGGGGAGGGGCAGCCGTTGCGGCGCGGTCGAGACCGCACCTGCCCTGGAAAGACTCAGCCGGATGCCGCCTCTGGACGTCCGCCGCAGCTTCTGTGTCGCCACAGGGGTTGCGGAAGCGAGCGTGGGGGCGCAGCAAGGGGGGCCCTGCCGGCCAGCAGGAGGTGCGCTAGAGAGGGCGTCGAGCACTCAGAACGGAGGGCAACAGGCACGGCGGCGCCAGCAGTCAGAGCCCATGCCTGCGCTACGTAGCAAGCCGCGTCCCGGGCGCTCTCGCCGGGCACCTCGACTTGGACGCTTTCGCTGCCCTCAACTATCTGCCGCACCAACTCGCGCTTGAGCTGCGCGGCGTCGCCGCTGGCGTCTGGCCACACGGCGTCCGCGGCTGCCACGAGGACAGCCGCATCGTCCATTAAGGCATTCGCTGCTTCAATAACTTACTAGCTGCCTGGCATTGCGCCCCCGACTGTGCCTCCAAAAGCGGTGATCATGATCGCACGTGAGCTATAGTCTATCTAGCTGATAAAGTCACGAGCGCCGGGGAAAGAATCCATTAGAACACAGCCGCGCAGCTAGTGGTAAGGGGATGCACACCAGGCCCGAGGCGCTCTCGGATCTGACTGGGATGGGCACCACCGACATGCCCCTCCCCCCCACCGCTTGGATCTTCCGAGCGCAGCTGGCTAGCTGCAGCTTGACGAGAGCAGTAGAAGCAATGCCAGGCGTCAGCCCATTGGCAGCCCCCTGACATTCAAGAGCCACCAGGTGATCAGCCCGCTCAGCATGTGGTCCTTGTGACAACCGAACACACTCCAACCTCTGGGAATGAACTTTCTTGCGACGCACATCGCCTATCACAAGTCTTTGTGCGCATGACTGAGTCGCATCGGCGTGCTGCTCCACCCGAGCGAGGAGCATGTCATCGATTTTTTTCGCGTGTGGCTGGCTTGCTTGCGTTTGATCACAGCCTCGCACCCGTGCATATTGCGAAGCGATGTATGTGACGCCCTGTTGTGCTGCCCTCCTCTGTCGTGGGTTGTCATGGATGTCGCTGGAAAGCGCCCAGTTCACGGGTCTCGTGTATAGTACACAACAGGCAGCCGCAGTACACTGTACTGCTCCTCATGGGGAGGCTGCTTTGACGGCGAGCTGTCTCCTACCCAACTTCCTGTTTGCCTGCATAAACTCATAACATGTACGTCAACATCTGTGGCATCATATCATGAATGGAATCTTTGAGCATGCAGAAATCTCAACTTGCCACTGCAAAGCGTGGCAAACGGGAACCTGCGCGACGTGCGTGCTGTGGTGGTGGTGTCCCTGCATTGGGCCTCTCTTGACGGCAGCACGCAGGCGTGGCAGATCTCAACTATTATGTAAGACTGCTTGGGCAACTCTATGCACGCTGCGCGGGCCTAGGGATGAAGATCACGCGTGGCGCGTGTTTGACATATGTGATGATTTGGCCTCTCGCACTGATATGATCATTGCGATTACCGCAAGTATGTTCGTCCCGCTCGTTATTGGGCGCTGAGCTGCCACGGTAAGCCCGCATCCGGCGATGAGAGCTTTCATAGTGGCCTGAAACCCCGCGGGCTGCCATGATGGAACAACTTCTGGCTGCTGTTGACGCGGTGTGGCCAGCCGAGCGTGGCAGCACAGACGCCACCGCGCTCCGCCGGATAGTTGCCCGGCAAATGATCGGCGGCAGCGAACACATCGACCCTCAGGTGGGCGTGCGCTGCGGCCAGTCTTGCAGCTTGATTCGCAGCTTTTTCTGTGCTGCTGTTCGCCGCCTTGCCTCTCGAGGGCGCGCCACCACGAGTGCCTGCGCACATTCAAATCTGCGACCTGGCGCAGCTTGTTGACCTGCGACTGTCAACCCCTGAGCCCTCGCCTTGACCTGGTTTCACGGTCAGCTCATGACAATGCGCCTTTCGCTCGCATCCCGTGCAGCGCGTGCGCCGCTCCGCCGACGGCGACCTGCGCATCAGCCTCGCGCGCGCAGGTGGGGCCGCAACGCGTGCCAGCGTTGATGTGCAAATGATGTGCACGCATGCGCAGGGGCTGCTGCCATGCCAGCAGCCCCTGTGCGTGCCCGCCCACCCCTCCATGGCCGCCCTGCTGCTCCGTTCCCGCTCGCCACGTGCGCGCGCAGCCGGCGCTCAGCGAGCGCCTCTCAGCCAACACCCAGCGCCCGCTCAGCTGCCCGCACCCCGAGCCAGCCGCTGCGAGCGCCCACCTCTCCGCACGTCTGCCCCCCTCCCCTGCCCTCCTCACCCCCAGGCATCCTCGTGTCAAAGCACCTGCAGTC